AAAAAACCAAAAAAATTCTTAATCAGTAAGGATGCTGTTATAATCCCTATTTCAGGGAACACGAAAACAATTTTTTTTTTGAAAAATGGCAACTGCCTGAAAATAAAAATAGTTCTTTACGCTTTTTTTTGAAATTCCTCAATTATTTTAAAATATTAAAAAGAAAGGATAAAGGATTATATAAAGAAGGTTCACACAAAATTTCAAGTAAATCGGTTGTATAGAACTTGGTATAATGGAAAAAAGTAGTTTCGAGAAAAACGCGTTTAAAAAAGTGAGTCCCCTACCGGGCTAGGTACTGCGTCACTAAAGTAACTGTAGCTCTTAAAATAATTTTAATTTTTAAAAGTCCTTTAGAGGATATGTTCTTAAGGGTCTAAACTTTCAAAATTCTAGAGTAGAATACCCCTTAGGCATTAAAGCAATATGATTCCTGTGGAGCACAGTTGTTTATCTATTGAAAATTTCGTTGTATCAGAGTATAACATTATTTAATTAATTAGAATAGTGTTTTTAGTCATATTCGAATATATACTATACATAAAATTGGTATTTTAAGAAATGGATTTGTTTTTACTATTTATTTTTATAACCTTTTAAGTGAGAAACATCCTAAAGTTCGTTATAAATTTTTACGGAGTGGGCTCATGCCAATTTAAAGATAGCTAAGCTACATATTTCTTCCCGTTTTTTGATCTTTGTAACTTTGTTGCATCACTTTGTATTCGATTAACAGTACAATGTAGAGGTGGCAATGATTCAATTTGTCATCTATTGCAGACCAACCTCTTCTATGAGCTAAAGAACACATATATCCAGTTTCTCTAGATGGTTTCGTAAATATTTTGATTAATAATTTTAGATATATACATAGTTCTCGGTGCCTCAATACGACCAAATATAACTCTTTATTGAATATGGAAAAAAACAACGACCATCATGATTTTTGAGCTGCTTTGCCGCAGCTCTTTTGGTTTCGACTCATTTCTATCCTTCCATTTCGATGATTGTTGACATATTTGAATGTAAAACTTATAAGCCCATGTCTCATCGGTAGCTAAAATGCTCTCAAGCATGTTGAAATAGATTTTTTTTACGGTACTCTTTTTGAAAAAAAAAATAAAAAGAAATCAGCTCTATCGGCACGAGTTGGGCAAGAACGCGTTTCATATGTAAAATATCCACCAAAATCACTCGCGAGTGATGTCGAACTCTCTTGCTTTCTCTCTAACCTGGCGATTTTCAGTCACCATATTCTTCACATTTTTATTATTTTCATAAGTTGAAGAGGTCGAGTCAGCCAGAGCGAGGCATGTCTTCAACGATTTCTAGACGGGCTTTGTACCGCTCATAGACATGTGTTTTAGATAAAATTAAATAACCGCAAGCCCATTTCAACATTTGTAACGATTCAGCATTCGAAATTTGGTTAAAAATATAAAATTTGAGACAACTTCACTGTTCGATTTTTTTTCATTGTAAAAATCGACACGCACCACTGGGTGCGACTTAAGCGGCTGCTGTAAAGGAACTAGTTGACAGATCGCGCTCATATTTGGTATAGTAATTAAGAACAGTCTTATCAATTTAGCAAAATTCTTGCAATATCATTTACGCGGACAATTTAATTACAATTTCTGGGTGCTTTTTTGTCACAATTTATATTACATAACACTATATTTATCTCTAACAATTTTGGCTGTGACACAATATACACATATAAAATCGTTTATATATCTTTGAACTTATAAATACGAATAAGCCTGTCCATATGTATGTATGAGTATACTCGTGTATGTATAACTACAAATATAACCCTTCGTTATTGACAAAGCGGTCAATAAATCTTCCGAAGCTTTGCATATCCCTGTCATTAGTAGAGCTTTCAGCCGTTAATTCTAGCGACTTCGTCAGTGTAAATACGCCTCACTGTTTGCCACATCAACATATAGCGAAACGTGTTTACAAATTTTCGGCGCAACAATAAATTTAGGTTAAATGGCAAAGTCTATGACGTGGACACAAGGATTTGTGCTAAATGCGTATTTATAAGCGAAAATGTACAAGTGTGTAAAAGGGAAACAACAAAATATCAAATTGATGCCAAAAACCACAGCTGGATGTGAAAACTATTCGAGATATTCATGTGATGGCGATACTTTTTGCATATGAAATGACACTTGGCGTGTGGATATGTGTATTAGGGTGATGCAGTATTCTCGGAAGATGAAATAAGTTTAGTTTCTATTATTATATTTTAAAAGTTAGCTCTATGAGATTGATTGAAAGTTATCACTGCTATT